CCGGTTCACAAATATTCGGAAATTACCCAATTGGCTTCTTGCCAACTCCACTAATGTCGACTTTTCAATTAGCACTTGGTGTGCCGCAGGTTAACATTGCTGCAATTAATGCTGTTTGATATATCAACTCCAAGGTTTTTGACGACTGGAATTTGGGAGTTCATAAATTTTATAAATGCTGCGGCTATTTTTTGGTGTAGAAATGTCATTAATGACGCTTACTTTTAAAAGTATATCCGTAACTGATACACACGGCACCAGTGTGTATAGCTTTTTTTTTAGCGAGGGAGATAAATGCTCTTAAAAATTTATCTTTCAGAAGCACCACTTTTTATAGCTGGGGAATAGAGAGGAAGTTTTATTTAATTTACAAATCGTTGGCTGTTTGTTGTATCATTGTGCGGTATTTGTTGAATTGGGAATGCCGGTCAAAATATGAGAGATTTAAAAAATGTAATTAGAGTTGCTTCGTGCGACGTGCAAACTCTTAATCACTATTATTTTATAATGCTGGGATCAATGGATGCTTGATTGTATTTAGGTAACAATTTTATTTACAAACCTATAGTGTTTAAGGAAATCAATGGAGCCTAATGAAGACTTTTGCTTCCGTATTCCGAAATGTGTAGGTGGTTTGGATTCTTTCTATGAATAAAATTTCTCATCTACTTTTGCTTTTATGATTGACGGCAGATATGCAAATTTCTTTTTTCATCCTAGCTACTTCTGAATGAAATGCATACTTGGAGATGAGACAAGAACTTCTTATTGAAGCATAAGCCTTTTTTCATATTCCCTTGCTACCGGAACTACAAAATTTCCAGGAACTCCACGCGCATCTAAATGGAAGCATAGATAAAGATACAGTACGTCGGCTTGCTGAACAGCGGCGAGCAAGAGATGGTGAATTTCATATTTTAAATGAAGAAGAGATTCTTCTGGGTCGGAGTGAGACACCGAGAAAAATTGAACAGTAGGTTGGTTATAATTTCAAGTGTAAAAGAACAATAAAATGTGTTTTTCTTTTTTTTTTTTTTAAAGTTTGCAATTTTTCACTTTCCTTCTTGGACTCGCACAGCACCTTTTTAGTTCTTCTATTGAAATGTTTGAATCTGTATTTGTTTCAGTGTTTTATAAGGGTAAATTATAGTAGATGCGCATGTGTTTCAGAGCCTTTAAGATTTTCCCGTTCATTCAGCGTTTAACTGAAAGAAAAGAAGAGCTAATAACGGTATTTCTTAGCATCTTTCTTCACTGACTGAGCAATTTATAGTTCGCCAACGTTATGTCAAAGGTTGTGATTAACTTATGAACATTTGAAGGCCACACGAAGTGTCATATCAGATTTTGCTGCTGATAACGTTGTTTATTTGGAGCTCAGGACGACACCGAAGTTTTCAAAATGGATGTCCAGGCGGGAGTATGTGAAGGTTGTTGTTGATACGATAGAAGCAATGAAGCATGAACTTCCAAACATAGTCGTGCGCCTAATCCTCAGCGTTGACAGACGACAAACGGTTGAAGATGCTCAGGAGACGATAAATTTGGCTAAAGAATATTGTACGATATGGTGATTTCGAAATTATAAAAGGAATTTTGAGCAGCAAATTAGATAGATGATGAAAAAATTTAAACAGGAAAGAATATAGCCCAGTTTTACTTAGGAAGGTTTTGTTGAGTTGTACCCAGTAAAAGTTAGCTTTCAATTTCTTCGTTCTCAGCTGTTGTGGCGCTGAATAATATTTTTTAGTAGGTCATGCGGTTTGAAGATTTATACTGTAATTTTCGCCTGATAGGGGTTTATTAACCGCTACAGCTATCAGAATGTGAATTAATTTTGGTAGATTTACGAATTTAGTTCGCTCACATTTCCTTATATCACATTTTCTTAACTTTATCGACAGTATAACAAAGATATTTTTGACAGCAATTCTAATTTTAAATTGTATCTTACTGGCTTTCGTTTTTCTGAAATTTTCACTTTTTTTGGTTGGATATCGAAAAGAAGAACAAAAATAAAGACTAAACTGCAACGGGGTTTCATAAGAACTGGTGGGAAGAAACTTTAAATGCTGAAGCTTGCCTGTGCTTGAAGTTAATGGTGATAAAATCTGACACAAATTAACTTTTAACAAGCTGCTTTGAAAACTGCGATTTCTGCTCTGTCGCTAGATAACGTCAATTTGAAAGTTTTATATTTGACTCAAGTTTTTCAGTTTCCGTGGCTTCACCAGTCATAGTAGGGGTTGAATTAAGTGGAGATCCGACATTTGACGGCAGAAAATTTTTACCGTTATTTGAGGAAGCGGCCAAGTTCGGTTTACCATTTACGTTGCACCTCGCTGAAGTTAGCATTTAGCTGTTACTTTTATTGATGTGAAGTGTTATGACATTTTGACTGCCATTTGGTTTAAGCGCTTTTTTTATCATTAATTTATACCGCAGTATTTTTCTGTATAGTGAACCTCCGCTTCTCTATTTTTAATTACTAACTTTATATATTCTTAAGTGATTTTGTAGGTTCCTGGTTGCCTCGAAGAAATTGAAGAGTTTTTATTGGTTAAACCGAACAGAATTGGTCATGGAACTTTTATCAGTCGCAATCCCGATAAAGTCAAAGGGGAAAATTGCACGAAATTGGTGCTAAGGGAAAGGATTCCGATAGGTCTTAATTATTTATGTTTTATTTGTTTTAATTAAAGAGACACTTAACTAGTTTAAGATATGCAAAGGATTTCTTCAGAAATCTGCTTGACTTCTAATGTCTTATGTGGTACGACCGAATCGTATGCTTCTAGTCACTTTTATCATTATTTTTCAAAGAAGCATCCAGTAGCACTGTGTGTGAGTGTTTAATTTTTTTTGCGTTTCAAAAATCATTCATTTACTGTCAGTGTTATAACATTTTTTGGTGCTTGTGAGTTAATGACTCATTTTTTGTCCTAACTATTTAGACTGATGACCGAGGGATTATGAGTTGCTGTCTGAGTACAGAATTTCTCATTGCCGCAAAAACTTTCCAACTTTCTCGTCAGGACTTACTAAACATCGCAATGGATTCTTTCAGTGCTGGTTTTATTCACAAAACATTAGGGAGCGGTGAAGATATCTGGAAAGTTATGCAGAACTTTAAAAAGTTTGCGTGTGTTGAGAATTTAAAATTATGCACCTTGGGAACTTTAGAGTAAATATGGTTTTTTAGTTTCAAGGGTTCAAACTTGAGGCATAAAATTCACAATCAATATTTTGTTGAAAACACGGCTATGTGCAAAATGCGCTCATTTTTCTTTTTTTTTCTTGAAAAAATAGCGTCTTTGCTGGTTCCTATGGAAGTAATGTTTGGAAAAAGCAAGATTAGGAACTATCCTGTAGCTTCACTAAATCAACGTGGAAATATGTGTTTTCACTGCACGAGCCAAACCGAGGTAATCAGAGGTTTAGTACAGCAGCGCTTTATTCGAAAATATTGGTTGTCGTCTACTCGTTTTGAAGAGTAACACCATTTTACAAACTTCCAGTGCAAGAAAGTCCACAATAAACAAATAAATATAATTAATTAAATGGATAAATAAGTGTGCATATTTATTTAGTTAGAAAGCTAAAGAAGAGAAGAGGAACAGGAGCTAGGTAGGCAGCATGTTTCGTTTATAGTGTGGGAGGTGACGTCGAAGCTTGGAACGTGATTTTTTGTTAAATTTGAAATATTATGTAACCATAATTTAGAAACATTTGGTGTTTTTAAAAAGGAACACGATGTCACTGAACGGAATTTCTCAGGAGTCGGAGAATTCATTGAATACACATAGAATAGTACAAGGTTTTCCGACATAGTTGACTTTGACCGTTGAATAAGGGGAGAAGGTTTTTGCAGCTATGTGTCTAACTGGGAAAATCCTGCGTTTCTAGACCGATATCTTGACCAGACTTCCTATAAAATATTGAAGTGATCAGCATTCGTGAACAGTTTGTTTGGAGATTTCCGAGTTGGGAAGTGTAATACCACTGTCGGAGAAGAGGTAATTTTTTTGACAAGTGGTTGAAGAATTGCTTACGATTGCGGCAAACGACATTTTCATTCCGCACAGAATATACGTAATTTATGAAATGCTTGCTGTTTGTTCAGAGAAGTGTCAGTCGTGATGATGTGATGAGAATCGCAGTTACCAGTTTCTTTTTTTTTCAAACGGTTCCGTTTCAAACTCGATGGTTTAAAATCTGGCTTCTTTCTAGTCTGTTTTCGGTGACAGATGTGACAGGCATTTGAGAAGAAGAAGCTGAGAAAGAGCCATTAGAAGAAAATCGTTTTTCTCGTGATAAATCTATGTTTTATACACTTATTCTTTAATATCTTTTTTTTTT